TTGGTCACAACCTGTTAGTGACATTTTGTGCCCTGTTCTTCCTTTTAGTGGAACCCCTTGTTAGCTGGCTTTCTTATCCAGCTCATGTTAGCAGCCCTCTGTGCAGGAAAAGGGACATCTAGTCAAATACAGCTATTCTCTCAGCTGGCAGGAGGCTTAATAGGGCTTCCAAGACCCTCTCTATCCAATGACATCCCTCATTGGTTTGCATGATGGGACATAGAAACAGGTAAGGAGATTGTCACGAGGTCAGCCTCCAGATTTTAGACAGGAAGCTGGCACAAGTCTCTTCTACCTCAGCCAACCATAAACACATATAGGATCCTGGAGTTATACTTAACTAAGAATAGGTGAGATACTATCTTCCTGTTTCAGGAAAGGCAGCCCTCTACCTTATTTTCTTTGCATTCATATCCCACCCCAACTTAGAGAATTTTTATAAAGTTGAGGCAGGTTGGTGAGTAGCAAATCTTCCTTAATTTAACTGTGGATCAAGGTTTTTTTAATTTACAACAAGAACTTTGGGCTACCTTTGTCCTCTAGTCCTGCTCCTCTGAAGCAACAAAAGACTCACACTCAATGACCTGGATGGGAATGATCACAGGGGAAAAAAAAATGATCTCGAGGGGAAAAAACATTGGCTAACATTTCACAATAGCAGCATGTTGCCACATTTGTAACTATTTACACATTCTAAATGTTCTAGGTTAAGAAAAAGCCTAAGAACAAGCATGAAACTGTTTACAAGTACATCTTTGGGGACTTGATCAGGTAATGGATTATACTCATGAGGAGACCAAGACCACACGGCAAATTGAACAGGGAATGTTTTATAAAAAGAATGATTACATGTAACAGGGGATTGACTTTAAAAGGGGAAGGAAACTTTGGCGACTATCACAGGCCTGAGAATACCCAAGAATGGACAAACTTTGAAGGCAGATATCTTCTCTATGGTTGGTTTTCTTCACTGGAGAAGGTGTGGTTGACTTGAAGGCATTGAATGGAGAAACGGTTGATTCTTTGTTCTGGACCAGAGCTGATCTGTACACAGAAGGCCAAGGTTGGTGGGGAGTGACCACAGGAAAGAGCAGGCCAGTATACAGGGGCCATGGAGAGAGGATAGCTGCCTGCAAGATGCTTACAAGACTCGGTGTGCATGCACCAGTGGGCATACCACAGGAAATTGATGGAAGTGAGCTCCACTGTAGATACCTCCCCCAAGCACCTCTGTTAATGTAGAATAGGAAGAGGAATAAGCAAGCAAGCATACCAGACTGGAAGCGATTCCCCTTCCTCCTGCAGCTTCCATCAACACCCTTTATTAACAATGTTTCACATGGTGCCAGTGGCTTTGAAAAAGTGCTCACAGGATCTTATTTCCACAAACATAGTGGCATGAAACCTGAAATCGGAGCTTAAGGGCAATATACTGATAACTGACATAGAGATGAAGAACAGTGTTGATGTGGTCAAACATGGTGTCTAAAAGAACACTTGAGAGACTGTTGAGAATCAAGCATTGTGGCAGGTGCTGATAAAATAACCAAGAATACAGTAAACCAATATCTATGCCCTCTTGAGCCTGCAGATGGGATAGAGACAGGCATAGGTTGCCTGATGGTAAATAATTTAATATAATAAAATGTAAATCATAATTAGTGCTATGATGACCATGAATAGGGGACTATCATAGAGATTAAGGGGACCTCTTCAGCACTGTCAGACGGGGAACACCTCTCCAAAGAGGAGACAAAAATTTCGAGTGACTTTGAAATGCGAAAAAAAAAGATGAATGGGTCTCTTGCCTGTCATTATCTTTGAACTATTTTACAACTCTGTAAATTGTGGGTAATTGATAGCAAATGCAGATGAATATTATCCATGGATATGCAAATGAATTTTTTCCAGAGAAAGTGCAATTGACTTCCCTTCTCACACTTCTATAGAAGAGGCAGTTCTCTGCATGTATTTTTGCAGACAGTAAACAAATTCATTTTTAAAATTCCTGACGGCCCTTTGGAATTTCTTTTTATTCCACTGCAACATCTTCCTGGTTCCCTTCTTAATTAGCAAGTTAAATAACATCTTTGACATGTGTTCATTTTATATTGATATGAGAATCATAATTTATTGTAAGAAATAAATGATCCTTTAATACATTGAAATTCAGTCTCCCAAAGACTCTGTTGGGGGTAGAGACTCAACCAAAAGCTGCAAGCCTAACATTTACATCACATTAAATTGGGCAAACTGATCACACTGTTCCTTCATTATTTGTATATTGATAACACATGCCAAAAACTACCTCTCCAAGATGTGGTCAGGTGAAAACATAGACTTTCATTTTAAAGGCAGACACACTTTTATCAAGGGGACTCATGAAATCAAAGATGATTTTTCTAACATTATTGGCAGTTAAAAGAATATTTAACAGACCTTTTCTCAGATGTTTTTGAGCTCACATCAGGAGTGTGTTCATAGAATCCTAGATTTTAAAATAATATAGAAACCTTAGAAATCATCTCATTCAATTCACTCATTTTATAGGTGAGTTAACCAAGAAAGCAAAGAGGCCTATTTAGTTAATCATATAATTATTATGAGAGTTAACAATAGTCTATATAAAGTACATACCATATAGTAGGTGTTCAGTAAGTCCTAGCTTTTTTTTTTTTTTTTTTTTTTGTAATGCATACAAGAGCTGTTTTGTAGGCCAGAGGTGGTTTGGGGGGAGGTGAGAAGATTCACCAGAGACAGAATAGGAAGCAGAACAGGGAGATTGACTGAAACACACTGCTGAAGGGAGCAGCAGGCCAGACAAGAGAGGTCTGCTATGCCATGTTTCAATCCTGGCTGGGCATGGAACTCATGCAGCAGTGGCTGCAGAGAGCTTCATAGTGCTGTGTCTTAACCCCTTGCACCACCAGGGAGGCCCAAGTCATCACTATTTTTAAATGGTTACAGTTACCCCCAAACAAAAATACATTCAAATAACAAGATGTATGCCATAAAAACCAAGCCTTCAGTCTTGGAGGCATGCAGAATCAATAGTGATGCTCCTAAAATAAATTAGTACTTTTGTGTGTAAATGAAAGTTACACTATACATCCACATACAGCTGTCTGTTAAAAAATGCAACTTTATTGAATGAACAATGGGCACACACAAGTCAACTCTACACATATCAGTGTTCCTCTTGTTCTCTCTCCCTCCCACTGTTTCACTTGGTCCTTGGAAACACTTATGTCTTTAGACACCATCTGTTTACTTTCAAACTGCCTGAAACGAAACATGACACATCGTATTTGTATAAATACAACAGGCCCTGGATTGTGACATTACTCCTCAAAAGACTTGGTTGAATATGCCCCATCCTTTGCAAAGGTGAGGGGACCCTCTGAGTGGTACTAATCCAGGGTTCATCTCCACTACTTAAAATGAAAAAAAAAAGTATTTAATACTTTATATAGATAGCAAAGGGTTTTCATATATATCATTTTAACTGTTTTTAAGGAACCAAAGGCTGCTATACTATGATAACCAAAGTCGGAGTAGGGAAGTCTGTATGTTGGGGCCTGGGGCGTGGGGAGAAGATTAGGTAAGACACTACACTATGCACAGTAAGAAATCTATACACACAATTTTTGTGTGTTTACGGCCTGACTGCTCCAGGTTAATTTTCCAGCCCAAGGAGACACCTCTGGAGGAGTGTGGGAGCCAGTGCTATCTGAAGACCACTCAGGCACGCTGGAGGCCAGTGCCCAGGAGGGCGATAAGGAGCTTGCGGGGTTGGACATCACAAGCTCCTGGCAGCCGTAAAGGCTTATTTACTGCTGAACTCTGTTCAGCTCGCTATGAAAAGCCAGCTGGAAAAGAAATGTTAGGCGATTTCCTGAGGATGTTAACCGCCCATCTTCCAGATTGCCAGGTGTCTGATTAAAGTGCACCTTCACGATTCAATTCCTGCCTCTACTTTATGGCATTTGGTAGTGACAGGTGGCCCAAACTCAGGTCTTCCGGTTACATATCCAGACACACTGGATCATTAGATGATTGATTTTACACTACTGCTGAATTCTTTTTCTAAGACACTGTCATAAAGTATCACAAAATAGGGGTGGTGGATTAGCACAACAGGAATTTACTGCCTGCCAGTTCCAGGAGCCAGAAGTCTGAAAATAAACCGGTGGTGGGCCCATGTTCCTTCCTAAGGCACTGTATGTGTCTCTGAATTCTCCCTTTTGTTAAGGCCTTCTGTCATATTGGATTAGGGCCCCTCATGTTAACCTGACCATTTGCAAAGACAAATTTCCCAAAAAGGTCTCATTCACAGGTAGCGGGGTTATATGAATTTTAGTGCCACTCAATACAACCTGTAATAAAAGCCTTATCTTTCCTCCTTTTAACGTTGCTAAAAAGTGGTGACAAAGACACTCACTCACCCATTCATTGAAAAAACCATGAATACACGTTGGCTGGCACCGTACTGGATATTAACGATGCCAAAAACCCAACTGGATAGAGACCCTGTCTTTGAGAAGTTTAGGAATGTTTAGCACCAGGTCTGTCAATTACTCCCCCTCTCCTCACCCCCCCTACCCCCCCAGCAAGTTCAAGGGTACCACTTCAAGGACCAGATTAATATAGGGGCACCACAGGGTCCCTGTGGACAAAGGTAGAGTGAAGCACATGGTATGGGCTTCAAGACGATGTTGACCCCGCGTTTCTTCCACTTCCACCCCTCTGGGCCCCATACGGCGCCAGTACAAGGCGACTGTCTGAGAACTCTCTTCAGTCTTCGGGCCAAGCGGACCCCCGCCTCCCATCCCCGGGCGGAATCCCCGAGCGCGCTCCCGACCACCGGCCCCGCCCTGTGGGACGCAGTGAGCGCGTCCGCGCGCCTTCCCGAGCAGAGCGCGCGCTCGCGAGCTTCCCGCAGCCCCGTGCTCATCCGGGTCTCAGCAGGTCTCAGCCAATAGTGGCCATTCACGGCCCCCGGGGGCGGGGCTAAGCCTTCCCTCACGTGGGGCCTGCGGTCATCGTGGGCGCTTCTAGGCCACGGGGACCAGGAAGGGGCCGATGCGGAGGGCTCAGGGCTTGGGCGAGGACCGAAGATTTTGCGGTCCAGCGGCTGCCGCCCCTTGGCAGCGACCGGAGCCCCGGCAGACTCCCGGGTCAGAGCCTCCGTAGTAAACACACTTCAGAAACGTGAGGTGCCGGTGGTCACGTGGGGAGCGCGTCCCCCAATGAGGAGCCGGGGGTGGGGCCCAGGCCGCTGACGCGGCGGTGGCGGCGGAGTCACCCGGGCAGCCTCGGGACCGGTCCCCGGCCGGCAACGGTCCAGCGGCCTCGACCACAGCCTCCGGGCTCCGTGCTGCGCCCTCGCTCTTGCCCCCGGGCCGGGAGGCAGCGTGACCGCCCGCGGCTGCGTCCTCTCAGCCCTCTGGGCGTCTGGCCTCGGCCAGGCGGCTTTCTCTGCCGGGGCCGCCTCGGTGGGGCGAGGTTTCCGTGACGAACCTCCTGGGGCTGCCGGTGCCGGCTCGGGCCGTCGTGGCGGCTCGAGCACTGGGCGCCTGTTCACCCTGCGGGGGTCCGAGGCCCTCGAAGTTATGTGTCTGGTCCCGGCGGCGGCGGTGGCGGGCTCCGGCTCCTGAAGGGCGTCACACCCGCTCTCCTCGGACTGAGCAACCTCCATTCATCTTCCTGCCGCGCCTCCGGCGCCCGCAGCTCTGGTCCCCTCCGCAGACTCCTGTTTCCTGGGCCCCTTCTGCCGCCCTGCCCTCACTCCTGGCGGGCGGAGATTCCCCTGGAAGCGGAGGTGTCGGTTATGAGCCGGATCCGCCTGCCTTAAATTTCTCAGTGGAGGGACTCCGGGGGGACCCGCCGCCCGCCGCGCCCCCGGGATGGGGGTGAACGCCGTGCACTGGTTCCGAAAGGGGCTGAGGCTTCACGACAACCCGGCCCTGAGGGAGTGCATTCAGGGCGCCGACACCATCCGCTGCGTCTACATCCTTGACCCTTGGTTCGCGGGCTCCTCCAACGTGGGCATCAACAGGTGGCGGTGAGTCAAAGTCCCGTGGGAAATAGATTTCGGTCTTGAATGAATCAGGGCTTTACATGCATCCGGCCAAGTCCGAGAGCTGAAGCCGGGGATCTCCTTGCTTAGGATGCTGTTTCGGAATCGGGGGTGCATTGAGTATTGTGTAGAGTGGTCCTGATTGTTCTCTGCCCGAGAGTGCAGGCAGCCTGAGCCGAACTTCTATTTTGTGTCAATTACTTGTCAGCGTTAATCGGAACTCTTCCCCTGGATTCCTGGACAACTCTTAGTGGTAGAGTTAAGGAAACAACATCCTCCCCGTCCTAGTGGCCTGTCAACTGGTCTTTGGCCTCTCTCTGGCTTTGGAAAGGATTGTTGTTTTGAGTGTTTCCTTTGTGTGTGCCTAGGTCACTTATGCATGGAGAAAATCATTCATTCGGTACAGTCGCCACCAAATCCAGTTTTCTTCCACCTTGAGGTTGCGTTAGGAAAAGCAAGGAAAACAAGATAATCTGATTTCTCTTTGCCCAGCACTTCCTCTCAACTCCTCCTTGTGGTTGACTAGACAAAGCACAGTTTTTCTTTCTAGGCAAAGTGTAATCCTTCTGGGAATCAGAGCAGAGTTTGAAATCTTAGAGAAGCACTATGATCTTTTCCTGAAATACCTGGCTAGCTGATTGTCAGGACTCTTGGTGGAAATGAAGCAGTCTTTCAATAATCAAATTATTGACTACCTGTTGTATTTAAACACCAGGGTATAAGAGCAAATGAAACCTACAAAAGTTCTTGTCTTCAGGGGGCAGATGTTTCATAAAGTAAAATATGGTATTGGATGGTGATAAATGTGTGGAGAAACATGGAGCAGAGAAAGGGGGTAGGAACAGAGTTGTAATTTAAAATTTGTTGACCCAGAAAAAGTCAGAGAAGATAGCAGTTGATAAGGGAATGAAGGGGGTGATGGTTTGCATTCCAGGCAGAGGGAACAGTAAGGGAAAAGTAAGGTGGAAATGTGCTTAATAGTTGGAAGAAACAAATGTGACTGGAGCAGAATAAATAAGAGGAAAAATAGGTGATAATATCAGAGATGTAGTAATAAGGCCAGACTGAATGGAGCTTTATAGGCAGTTGTCAGATTTGGACTTTTACTTAGAAGAATTAATTGCAGGATTATGAATAGAGAAGTGATGTGATCTGACTTAACTTTGGAAAAAAATTCTTTGTGTGGTTCTGAAATAGACTGAATTGGGGGTGGGGGTAAGATAGACAAGAAGCAGGAGATCCAGGTAGAAGGTTATTCTGCTGAGAAATAATTATGGCTTGTACACCAGTGATAGTAGTGGACTTGGAAAAACGTAGTTAGATGCTGAGTATATTTTGAAGGCAGAATGCACAGTATTTGTTGGCAGATTGGACATGTGGTGTGAGAGAAAGAGAATGATTTCAAAATTCTTGACTACAGAAACAAGAAGGATGAAGCTGCACTTTGCTAAGAAAGTAGAAGCCAGCCAGAGAAGCCTTTGGTAAGGTGATTGGTGTTCTCTTTTGCACTTAGTTAAGTTTGGTATGTTTGTTACTCGTTCATGTGGAGATAGTTGAATATATTTGGAAATCTGGACAAGAGACGTAAATTGGAGAGCCCTCAGTTTATAGATAATGTTGAAAGCCATTTATTTATTCAGCCATTCATTGAACAAATCTTTGCTATGCACCTGCCACTATTTTAAGTGGTAGAGTCAGAATCAGTAGAATAGCCAAAAAATCCCTGCTCTGCTAAAGCTGCATTTTAGTGGTGCCATGAATATAAGTAAATATGAGTAAAGTGATGGTAATAGAAAAGAGAGGAGTCAAGGACTGATTAATAGCTTATACTTTAGTAATTTTTCATAAGATTGCTAGGTGGCTTAAATTAGTTAACAAATGTAAAGTGCTTAAAACAATGATAGTAGTACTTATTTGCTATTAAATTGAAAACCCTACATAAATAATATCTAATTAAATGCCTGTAGTAAATTTTTTTAGAGCCGTTTATAAGTTTATAGTATTCTCTTCTAAAGCCATTTATAAGTTTACACCTTATAAATAGTTACCCTTTAGCTCTAACAGGTAAGGTTTGTGAAGTTTCCCTTTGTACACCTGGCCACTCATATTGTTCACATAATCACTGAAACAAACTGGTAGGCACAAGAAGAATAGACCTGTTTTCCTTTTTAGAAAGTTTTAACCACAAATACTGCTCTTTCTGAAGGATGGGTAGAGGTGTAAACAATGACTAGAGATGAACTGTTTTTCTTCCATTGAAGACTATGTTAGGAGAAGGCAGGGTCTGTTTGCACAGCAAAAAAATTCCTGTTTTTCATATAGTAGTAGTTCAGCAACTGTTTACTGAATGAAGTGACATTCAGGAGTCAATAACTTTAATAACCTCTCCAAATTTCCTTATTAAAGTAAGAAAATATGCATCCTCGTCTAGGCATTCAGGCTATCTTGTGGGGATGTATGTGTGGTTTGTTTGTGTCATTTTCTCCAATGAACAGTACTTACTAGATTTTTAGATTTAATAGAGAAATAAGTTTTAAAACATTATTCTACCTAATTAGTAAATTAACAAAACTACCTTTTGATATTGCCAACATTTTACTTTAAAAGGATGCTTAACATAAAAAAAAAAAAGTTTGAAGAACTTGTTGCAAAATAAAGGATAGTTCTTTGACAGAAACATACTAACCTTAATAAAAATTTGCTGTTTCATTTGACTCAGACCAGCGAAAATCTTATCTTGAATTTATAACCTTTGAGTTGAATGTTCTGAAATATTTCTGTTCCATCCTTCACTTATTCCATTAAAACTTCAGCACACAAAACTTATATATGAATGTTCATAGAGTTATTATTATTATTATTATATCCAAACGGTGGAAATAATCCAAGTATCCATGTACTGAGGAATGGCTAAACAAAACGTGGTATAGCCATTGAGGTGGAATATTATTCTGTCATGAAAAGGTAGAAAGTACTGATTCACATAAAAGCATACCCTTTAAAACACTTTTCTAAGTAAAAAAGGCAGTTATAGAACCCCGCATATTATATGATTCTATTTATATGAAATATCCAAAATAGGTAAATATGTAGAGATTAGTGTCTTCTTAGGACTGAGTTTTTGGGGAATCAAAGTGGTAGTTAAGGAACATAATAGCATTTCTTTTTGTGGTGATGAAATGTTCTTGGTGATAGTTATACATTTCAATTAATATACGAAAAATCATTGAATGTCGCATGTAAAATCTCAAGACTCAGATGCTATCTTTTCATAAACCTTCTTTTTTCACCTTGTCTTCATTAATTTACAGTTTTGTGAACTCATACCACTTTTTGATAATGCTTCTTACATCATACTTAATATATGCTGCTTCCTTTGTAAATATCAATATGGCCCTCAGATATTTATTTTTCCTCTTTTTTGGCATACTGCACTTACACTTACTTTTCCTGAAATGAAGGAATACTGTTTCATACAATCAAAAATTTATTTTGCATTTTTGTGGCAGGCACTTTTCTTGGTTCTGTGGATACATTTACTAAAATAGAACAAGTATCTGCTGTTGAGGAGTTTCTGGTTTGGGAAACAGACAAAAAAAAATGTTATATATCTAGTAGTGGTAAGTTTAATGGAGAGAAATGAAATTGAATGTGAGAACAGAGACCTAAAGGAAGGAAAGAAATAGACTCTCCAGATATTTGAAGTAAAAGTCACGGTATATTCCACACAGTATCCAGCATAGTATCTTGTACGAAGTAGGCATTTAGATAATTTCCTTTGTAAGTTTGAGGTTTAGAAATGGAGCAATTAATTTAACTTAGATGCTGATGTGTATTTTAAACTCTTAATTTAGAAAAGTAAATTAAGTAATGAACAGATTATTTTTTAATTTTTAAACTTACACAGTTGATCCCATGGTGTGTAGATCTAGTAGCTTAACTTTAGCAGCCAAATTTATAAGTATACCTACATCTCTACCTACTATATGGTTTAGTGGGAGAGACACTGCTGCCCCTGTTCTGAACTAACCTCTTAATCTGTTCCCCATTTAAAAACTTCATATTTTTTCAAATTTGAGGTGTAAGTGACAAAAAGTTGTCTATGTTTAAGGTTTACATGTATGTATCACATGTTGCGTTGACAAACTGTGTTGATTGTCCCTTCTCACCGTTTTTTTAACCTCATCCTTAGTTGTTTTCAGTTAACACAAATATACTTAAAAAACTTGGCTAAAAACAAAAAATAAGACCTACCCTACTTAGACTGTGTTCCTCTCCTGCAACTGTTTCTCAGTTCCTTCAGAGCCAGATTTCATGAACAAGATGTCTTATGCCGGCTTTTTATCTCCTGCTAGAACTATTAGTGTTCATGTCATGCTTATTTTTTTCTCTTCAGTCCTTAAATGGCCACTAGGCCTGCGGTTTTCACTCTCTTTTCATTTTATGTCTTTTAGTACACACCTGAAGAGGTGTGAATCTACCTCTAAATCATGTAGTGTTGTAAACCAACAATACTGCACTAAGAAATAATACAATAAAAAAATAGTTATCATCTAAATACCCAGAATTCCCAAATCAGTATCTTCAGCCCAGATCTCTTTCCTAACTGCCCAGATTTATATGTCCACTGTATATTGATCCCCTAATATTCATCTGCTCATTTGTATGTATTTTATGACCTTAATCTCAGCTTGTTCAAAATAATGTTCATCTTCTCCTGTGCCTATCTCTCAAAACCAAAAAACCCAAACTGATTTTTGTATTTTTATACACAATATCACTTGCCCAGTTGCTCAAACAATTTACAAATTGGATTGTTAATTATGTATGCATTTATTCAACAACTATTTGAGTCCCACTGTGTGCCTGTCATTGCCAGTTTCTGGGGGTAACATGGTAGCCAACAGGTAATTTCTCTGTCCTCAGAGATTTTACAGTATAGAGATGGATTTATTAAAAAATTAAATCATAGAAATATATTATTC